GTGAAGGCAGTTTCGCAGTTTCTCGGTAGCCGTTTTGGGACCGTTGTGGGGCCTCCTCGGGACTGTTTTGTGGCCTCTTTAGGCCTCGTTTGGGCCTCCTGGGTGCCTCTTGGGGGCCTCCTGGGGCCTCTTGGGGGCTCCTTGGGGCCCCCTGGGGCACTCTTCAAGCCGGAGGGTCGAATTTTGGAGTCGTGGTCCCCGTCTTGGGCGCATCTTGGGGCCGTCTTGGGGCTCTCTTGGGCTGTCTTGGGCGACTCTGGGGCCCTCTTGGGCCGTCTTGGGGCGCTCCTGGGGGCCTATTGGGCCGTCTTGGAACGTCGGACAGCCGAAAAGGCTGGAAGGCCAAAATCGTTCGAAAACCTTCGTAAAATTGACGATTTCGGCCTCTTGAAGCGCTCTGGAGAGGCGTCTTGAAGCGTCGTGGAGTGTCTTGGGGGGCCTCTCGGGCCGTCTTGGGCCTATCTTGGGCGTCCTGGAGCGGTCTTTCGGCGACTCGGGGCCCGCTTGGGCCGTCTTGGGGCTCTTTTCGCCCGTCTTGGGTGCGTTTTGGGCCGTCTTGGGGCCCTCCAGAGCCGCCTTGAGCCCCTCTTGGAAGCCTCTTGGGCTCTTTTGGGGCGTCCGCGGGGGGCCTTTGAGCCGTCGTGGAGCGTCGGAAAGCTGAGAAGGCAGGAAAAGCAAAATGTGTCCAAAACCTTCGAACAATTAACGATTTTGGCCTCTTGGGCCCCTCTGGGGGGGGCTCTTGGAGGCCTCTTGGAGCGTCTTGGGGGCCTCTTTGGCCGTCTGGGGCTGATCTTGGGGCCCTCTTGGCGCCCTCTTGGGCCTCCTGGAGCCTGCTGGGCCTGTCGTGGAGCGCTCTTGGGGCACTCTTGGGCCGCCTGGGCTGCTCCAGAGAGGCTCCAGGCCCCCCCCGTCCCGCCATGGGGGGTCGAGGCACCTGTCGTGGGGCCCCTGACCTCGCCCCAAGGGATATATATATATATATATATATATATATTATCTATAAAAACGGATTTACTATCATTATATAATAAAATTATATATATATAAATGCTTCTCTCACCTGTTTTTGTGCACTCCGCCAGGGAGCTTGTCAGGCCAGGACCTCTGGGGGCTACTCAGGGGTCATTCCAGGAGTTGGGAGAGGTCCCGTCCCTTCAGCGGCATCCAAGGGCCTCCCAACCCGCCTGGCACAGCCGTGGCGCTTAAGCACCCGCGCTGCGTCCCAGACGCGCTGGGCCCTTGCCCCGCCGGGAGGTTAAACGTCACCAACCCCTGAACCCCCTAGCTCTCGTCCTGGCAAATACTCGCGCGGAGGCAGGCACGGCCACGCGCGAGACGGTAGCAATGCTGCCCCCTGTCTGTGGGTGGGCCAACACAGCTACGGAAGATGGATGAAACTCAACCGTTATCCATCAACGGCGTCGCGCACGCTCAGGTGGACTCCGCATAGGTTTCCTTGGAAGGTTCATATATGCTTCTCTCACCTGTTTTTGTGCACTCCGCCAGGGAGCTTGTCAGGCCAGGACCTCTGGGGGCTACTCAGGGGTCATTCCTGGAGTTGGGAGAGGTCCCGTCCCTTCAGCGGCATCCAAGGGCCTCCCAACCCGCCTGGCACAGCCGTGGCGCTTAAGCACCCGCGCTGCGTCCCAGACGCGCTGACACACTTGCACCGCCGGGAGGTTAAACGTCACCAACCCCTGAACCCCCTAGCTCTCTCCACGGTCCCTACTCTGGCAAAAGCCGCTCCCTCTTGCTCTTACTTATGCCCTCCACCTCGTTGTAATGAAATGAGGGAAGAAAGGTGGAGGATGGGCGGGACAGACAGACAGGCAGCACAAAGCAAGAACAGTTCATCTCGCTTCTGCTCGCAGGCGGGACGCGAGCAGGCCGCAGCGCTTCCGCTGCGTGGGCGAGAGATTTAATTGAGTGGCCTCGGCGACGGCATCCTGGACATACAAGCGGGCCGTGCGCGCCGAGGCCCATCTGCCTCGGAGCAGCGTCTGCTCCATGGAGCCATGGCTGCGGAAGTCGGCGGAGGCGCCGCCCCTCCGCCAGCTGTAGAGGGTGAGCTTTGCATCCTGCAGTTCCAGCAGCTCACGCACTCGGCTGAAAGTGTTCATGAAACTGCTTGGCTCCATTCCGAGGCACAAGTCCTGTCCGTGCGCCTGAGCCTTTGCTCTAGCAAGGAGGGCGACCGCTACACCACTCCGCACGAGCACGAACTCTCGGGCACCAGTCTGGTGCTGGCTCTTGGCGTTGCGCAGCTGCAGCACGGCCATTCGTCGGAGTGGGTACAGCTGTACATCTGACCACACGAGCGAGGTCATCTCGCCCGTCCGGAGGATAGCATCGTAGCCCGCAGCCAGCACCGCCGCAGCACCGAGCTGGCCTACGGCTGCAAATGCACCAGCGAACGCTGCCGCGATCAGCGGACCAATCGGCAGCGCCCGCCCAGCTGGCTCCAGGCGTTGCCACGTCTTGGCCAAGCGCCAGCTGTCCCGCAGGTGCCCTCGCACGGGCGGGAAAGCGTGCGTGATGCCAGCAATAGCATTATTAACTTCGAACAAAGATCCTCCGCTTAGCCAGCGGCTCTCAATGAAGGCGGCCACGCCAGCGTCGACCTGAGCGGGCGTATGCGGCTGCCGGTGCTCCTGGATCCAGAAATCAACGACTTCATCGACTGCCGCACGGTACCGCTGCAGGGTGAGTGGCGTGACCATCGCCTCCCTCAGCGGTTGGGATCTCGCTGCAGCTCGTCGTGCCATCGCCTGAGCCGTGACCCGGCTCACTTTTGCCGCTGCTTGTGCTGCACGCTTGCTGGGGGCGGCCCTCCTGGCCCTTGCCGGCGGCCGCACTGGGAGCGAGGCAGCGGCGGCCGAAGCTCCAGCGGGACGGCGTGTCGGCGGGCATGTCGTCGGTGTCGCAGTAGCCGTACAGCGGGTACCCTGCCGTCGCGAGGAGGAGGGCGTTGAGACGGCGGAGCGCGGGCTGCAAAGCCCTCGCGCTCGATCTGCCCTTGGTGCTGACTGCCGCGATCGCTTGGGCATCCAGTATGTGCAGGTAGCGGCAGCGGTGGTTCTCAACTGCTCGGCACCTCCAGCGCGCTCCCGCCACCGCAGCCTCCAGCTCCAGCGCCGAGATGTGCCCGGGCCGCTGCCAGCGAAAGCCTTTGGCGATCCGCCAGGCCCAGAGGTGCGTGCGGAGAGCTGCCCGCGGCCACGCGCGGGCTCGGTAGGGTGCCCCGGTGTCAAGCCGGACGTCAGTGCCCCCGCGGTCCGCGACCCTCAGGAACTCCACGATCAGGCTGCGTTCCAACCGCGGGTCGCGATGCCCCGGCTGCTGGAAGTCGGGGACCACGTTCCAGTTCGCCTCGCACGTGCCCACAGCGAGGCAGCTGCTGCCTGGGATGGCGGCCGCTAGCGCCCCCACCTGAGCGAGCCACGAGCCGAGAAGATACATGACAGCCTGGACGCAGAACGTATTCCCGATCAGGGACTCAATGACGCTGTCTCGCTCGGCGGCAGGTGCACTATCTTTTACAGCGGCCTGGAAATAGAGACGGTCGAACCCCATCAGGGCAGCACGCTCCTCAGGCACGGGTAGCCGGCCCCGCTCACGCCTTGCATCCCAGATGAGGCTGCCGTCCTCGTAGTTGTTGACCTGGTAACGGTAGCTGTCGGCAGCCCAGCGCTCTGCGGCCCTCACCGAGGCGCGGTCGAGGCCCACGGGCCGAAACGGCGGGTGCTTCCGCGGGATCGGCCTCGTGAAACAAGGGAGGTCTGCCTCTGGGTCCAGCGTCGACCAGCCCTCCAGGAGCGAGGCACTCAGTGGGAGCCTCTCCACCGCAAGCGAGACCTTGAAGTACGTGGCCTCACCCACACCCTTGGTCTCGACGGTGGCGTCGGACGCCAAGAACGCCGTGACGGGCCACGAGCACCAGTACAGGCGGGGCCGCCTGACGTGAGTGAAACACCTGGCATCGAGGAACACGGGTGTGACTCCAAGCGCCCTGGTGAACTCCGCCCTCGACTCTAGGGTCATGCTGAACACGTTCTCGACGAACCACATGGTGCGCTTGGGAAAGGCAGCTTCTGCCGCCTGGATCAGCTCAGGGACCCGGAAGAAGAGCCTCGACCTCGACCCCTCCAGGCCGGTCCCCACGACATTGATGCTCGCCAGGTCTTGGCACGGGCTCCCCGCGGTCAAGACGACCCAGTCGGCGTCCCGCGCGTAGCCCTTCAGCATCTCAGTAAACCGCGCCGTGTCGACGGCCTCGATGTTCCCAAGCTCGATCACGCCCGCCCAGCGGCGACGCACCAGTCGCCGGGCGGCGGGCTCGACCTCGCAGCTGACATGGGCCATCACGTCGATCGGGAGTCTGGAGGCCGCCACCGCGGCCCCCGCGGCGCCAGCGAAGAGCTCGATGAGAACTATGCGAGGGCGCCACCGCACACCCCGCACGGGGGCCGCAACTGCACCAGGCCGCAAAGTCACAGCCGAAGCTCCCCCTCTCGCGCACGCAACGCCCTGCGCCGAGAGCCCGGCCGTGTGGCAGATGCCCCCGGCGCGCTCGCTGGCATCGGTCGCTATGACACACGTGTCGATCTTTGCGCGCAGGTCGGTGTAGGCCAGCGGCAGCGCCATCGCGAAGCCCAAGAGCTCGTCGCACATGCCAAGGGGAACAGTCTGCGGACGCGTCCAGCGTCCAGCAGCCCACACGCTGTTGAGGAATCCCATGAAAGGCCTCCTGAACTCCGCTGCCCTGGCGCACCTGCCTAGGATCATGAGCATGCCCTGCGACGAGAGGCCCTGCCTGCCCATGCCCCACAGGATGAACGCCAGCAAAAAAGAAACAAACAACACAAAAGGAACAAAAGCAACCACCAATAACCAAAATAAAAAATGCACAAAAACAACAACAGAAAAAGCTGGTGCAATACAGGCGACGGGGGGGGGGAGAAAGCCGGGATACAGAGATACGGATCATTTTAGTTTGTTTAGTAGAGAAGAGTTAAAGCGCCGCGAGCGCCGACGTCCGGAAAATACATCAAATAACCCGCATACTCGGAACGTACTCCGACCCGGCCGACGGCCCCGTCAAGACCCGCGCCCATCCGCACCAGGACCAGCGCGCGGTGCTTGGCCTTGCCGGGGGCGACGCTGATCCCCGAGCGGCCGTAGGCGGCCCTCTGCTCCTCCTGCGCGCAGCTCATCGTGCCGAGGAGCTCCGCGACCATCGCGTTGGGCACCACCTCGCCATGGTCCCAGTCGTCGATGTAGTACTGGATCCACTGCTGCTCGAGCTCCTTCGACTTGAACGGAAGCGGCCGGTCTTTGCGCCACTCGAGCTCTGCGGGAAACCCCGCGGCGAGGGGGCGAGAGCCGAACCCGAGGCGCCTGTGGCAGTGCTGAAACACCGTGACCGCGTTGATCCAGCCCATCGGGATGACGCGCAGCGCGAGGTGAGTCTTCCCAGGACCCGGCACACCGATGAGCTCGTTCGGGATCGCCTCCGCGAGGGTCATGTATGGCTGCCAGGCCTCGGGCAGCTCGTAGCAGTAGAAAGCGGAGGCTTGGTCATCCGAGGACCAGAGCAGCATGTGACCCTCTGGGAGCGGGATGGCGACCCACGAGGGCGACGCGCTAAGGGTCCCGATGTCATCCCTCATGATGCGCTGGTAGCTGTTGGCCGGGACCATGTTGATGATTAACCGCTGGACGCACGCCTGGCCAGGTGACGGCGTGCCTCCCTTGGCGACCCCGAACGCCCCCGCAAGCACCTTGCGGTTCCCGACCTTGAAGATGCGGTCGTCGGCGATCGGCGCCGCCAGCCCCAGCTCGACGAGCTTGGTCCCGATGCGGTACCACTCCTGCTTGGACGTGACCTGGATCGCCGCCCGCGGGACCTCTGCAGGCCACTCATCTCGTGGGAGCAAAGCCAGCGTGGGGTCGGCAAGCCAGGCGCCCACCTGAGCGTCCGCGATGTCGACCGCCTTGACCGAGGCGGCGACGCCGCGCGCGGGGAGGCCTGGCATGATGCCCGCGAGCGAGAGCGGCAAGGCGCGGGCCGTCTCCTCGCCCCCGTAGGAGACGGTCCTCGACGAGATGACCTGGTCCCAGTCAGGGAGCTCGAAGGCTGTGGCGGCATCCTGAACGAAATACTCACAGGCCTCCTGCACAATGCCGAGCGCACTAACCTGGCTAGCCGTGGGCCGCCTCGCGGCGACGGTGGGACTGCGCATGTGCCCCGTGTACTGGTAGTTCAGGCTGAAGACCACGAGCTGGGCCCACCCCTGCGCCGTGGCGGCGTCTACCTCGCAGGTCTCCGGCAGCTGCTGGTGCAGGTACCAGGCGGCACGGTACCTCTCGAAGAGTGGGGCGTCGGGCAGCGGTAACGGCAACACCTCGCGCAGCCGCGCGAAGCTGGCCGTGGGGTCTGGCGAAGTGCACATCTTACGAACGCACCGCCCGATCGCCCCTGGCGAGCCGTGCACCGCCTCGTGAACTGCGAGGGCAAGCCTGAACTTGGAGCTGACGCCCGTGCCCACCTCGGCTAGCATCTGGCGCCACCGCCGAGCCTGCGAGCTGCCGCGTAGCTGCCGCTCAGGCGGGCGGAGGGCAGGCGGGGGCGTGTTCTGGGCCGCGGCCTTAGCCGTGTCGGCCCTCACGCCCGAACCCAGGCCGTCCTGCGAGCAGTGCCCGTGCCGCGGCTCTTCCCCGTCTTGCCTTTGCCGCGGCTCTTGGCAGCCAGCGGCCTCCCGATGCGCGCCTTCCACGCTGCCTGGATCTCGCCCTCGCGCCTCGGGTGGGCCGCCTTGTGCTGCGCGAAGCTCCGGATTGCCGCCGCCTCCGCTGGTGGCACGCGGGCGGCGGCTGCTGCGTCGAGGTCCCCCTCCGAGTCGCTCAGGAGCTGGACTGACCGCGTGGGACTGCGGCTGGCCCTCCGCGCTGCTGGCGGCTTCTTCTCGGCGGGGGGAGCTGCGGGACCGTCGCCTGGAACTCGTCCGGCAAGGATCCTCATCGCCTCGGCCGATCCCGAGACTGGCGTCCCGGTAGCAGGGGGCGGGGGGCGCGCCTCCGCGCGCCCATGGCCTGCAGGTGCCGTCCCCCCCTGCAACGGAGACGGCTCCCGGCCAGACCCCTAGCCCGGCCTGCGGTCTGCAAGTCGCTGGCGGAGTTCGGCGACCTTCAGCTCCCGGGCCTCGACCTTCTCGGCAGCGTTCTCCTCGTCCAGAGAGGCGCCTGATGGAAGCTGTTCCTGCGCGACCAGCGTGAGCCACCGTGCCGACCGCCAGTTCCCGTCGCGGATGGCCATCGTCCGCGCCTTGAACTCCTGCATGAGCAGATCCGCAGTCTCGACGACCTCTCCGCGCAGGATGCCGTCGAGCGCCAGCCCCAGCGTGCGGAGGACCCGCACCTCGTCTGTCCCCAGCGTGCGCGGCGGGTGAGCAACGAAGAACACCGTGTTCAGGAACTGCGTGACGCATGGGGCCAGAGGGTCGGCTTCGCCCGCGGACAGCTGCTGGGTGAACTGGCTGCGCAGGTGGCCGAGCCCATTCTCGAGGAGAGCACCAGGCCGCTGCCGAGCGATCCTGCGGAACAAGTCGCGCTTGATGTTCACGCCCTGGTAGCGATCGCGGCCCCCGAGGCGCTCCGTGTCGCTCTCCGCGCCGTCCTCCGCGTCGTCGTCGTCGCGCCCCAGGAGCGCAGCGGTCAACGCTGACGCCAGCCTGCTCCTCGACCCCGTGGCGCTGGCGCGCGCAGGGGCAGCAGCGGCGGCTCGGCCAGCTACCACCTGCGCCAGACGCTCGGCCACGGCTCCTGCTGGGCGCGCAGCATTCTTGGGCGTGCCCTGCCTCGGCCCACCACGAGCTGCCTTGCCCCCGAGCCGCGCCAGCCGCGCCTCGAGCTCTGGGTCCTCGGCGGTCTCCTCGAGCCCAGCAAGCTCCTGGTCGAGCGGGCTCGTCTCTCCTGGTCCGCCAGGGGTCTGGGTGCCCTCCACCTCGCGGGCTCGCTTGCGCGGTGGCCCGCGAGGCTCCTCCTCGTCCTCGTTGGCCCCGTCCCCGAGCGGCCAGCCGCCGAGCTCTCCAGGCATCGGCTCGGCCGAGGGCGCGTCGGCCAGCACAGGCGCTCCAGGGTCTGCGGCCGGGCAGATGAGCTTCGCCTGCTCGCGGGCCACATCGCGGGGGTCCACCACCTGCCACACGTCCAAGTGCTCGACTACTGCGCCCACGGGGGCGACCGCCCCGCACTCGGCGGCGCTGCACTTGCAGAGGTGGAAGACCGTGGCCAGGGGGCGCGCGCCCTGCTGCCCGGAGGAGGCTGCATACCATGAGAAGTACGGGTCGCTGGCGCCCACGTGCCGGCCCTTGAAGAAACGGCCGAAGGCGTCCGCTTGGTAGGCGACCTCCACTTCGAGCATCTCGACGCCCTGCGGCGCCCCGTCGTCGTCCTTGACACGCCCCAGGACCCGTGCACCAGCCCACAGCGGCAGCCCCGGCACCAGGTCGCCGTTCAGCGCCGCGTCGAGCCAGGCCCCTCTCGGGAAGGGCCACCCGACGGCACCCGGGGCTGCCCGCTCCATCGGGCTCCTCGCCAGCAGCAGCGCGGGAGAGGGGCGACCCGCGCCCGGGATCCTCGTCTCCCAGCCAGGTCTTCGCTCCCCTCAGCCCGCAAAGTCTGCCAGCGAGGCTGATCAGAATCAGTCGTCCGAGCGTGGCCCGCAAGCGGCCGCGCTCGGCGCGGCGAACTTTCAGTAGACAGAGTGGCTCGGCAGCGGCCACAGACGGGCGGCACCGCCCGGTGACTCCGCTGCCTGTCTCCAGCCAACACAGCTACGGAAGATGGATGAAACTCAACCGTTATCCATCAACGGCGTCGCGCACGCTCAGGTGGACTCCGCATAGGTTTCCTTGGAAGGTTCATATATATATATAGGTCCCAGGAATCCTGAATTCTTCCTACGGAAGGTGTCAGGAATCCTTTTGTAGAAAGGGGCTCTCAAAAGGAATCCTTTCGTAGAGGCTCTCAATCGTAAATAGTTGGCTTCCAATTGAAATCCTGTTGTAGAAGCTCTCAATAGGAATCCTTGTATAGAGGCTCTCAATAGGAATCCGTGTGTAAAGGCTTTCAATTGGAATCCTTGTTGTAAACGCTCTCAATAGGAATCCTTATGTCGAGGCTCTCAACAATAATCCTTTTGCACAGGCTCTCAATGATAATCCATTTGCATGGGGTTTCAATAGGGATCTTGTTTTATTGGATTTCAAAAGGGAGCCCTTTGTGTAAAGGCTCTCACTAGGAATCATGCTGTAGAGGCTTTCAAGAAGCATTGGTTTGTAGAGGCTTTAATAGGGCTCCTTTTGTAGAAGCTATCAAGAGGAATTCTTTCGTAGGGGCTCTCAATCGAAATCCTTTTTCGTATTAGCTTTCAATAAGAATCCTTGTTGTAGAGGCTCTCAAGAGGAATCCGTTTTGTAGATGCTGTCAACAGGAATCCTTTTGCACAGGCTCTGAATAGGAAACCATTTGTGATAGGTTTCAACAGGACTGCTTTTGTATTCGCTTTCAATGGAAATCTTTTTTGGAGGAGGCTCTCAATAGGAATGCTTGTGTACAAGGCTTTCAATGGGAATCATGTCGTAGGGGCTCTCAATAGGAATCCTTTTGCAATGGCTCTCCAATAGGAATCCTTTTGTGGAGGCTCTCAATAGGAATCCTTTTGCACAAGCTCTCAATAGGAATCCAATTGTATTGGGCTTCAATCGGAATCCTTTTGTATTGGCTTTCAATAGGAATATGTTTGTAAAGGCTCTCAACCGGAATCCTTTTGCAGCAGCTTTCAATAGGAATACTTTTGTAAAGGCTCTCAATAGGAATCCTTTTTGCACAGGCTCTCAATAGAAATCCTTCTTGTATTGGCTTCCAATCGGAATCCTTCTGTATAAGCTCTCAATAGGAATCCTTGTTGTGGAGGCTCTCAATAGGGCTCCTGTTGTAGAGGCTCTCAATAGGAATCCGAACGTAGACGCTCTCAGTTGAAGGTTCCAGGAATCCTGGATTCTTCCGGAGGATGGTTTTAGGAAGGTTTTGTTGGAAGGTTCCAGGAATTCTGGATTTTTCCCCAGGAACGTTTCAGGAAGGTATTTGTTCCCGGAAGGTTCCAGGAATCCTGGATTCTTCGTGGGGAGGGTTCTAGGAAAGTTTTTTAAAGGTTCCACGAATCCTGGATTCTTCCTGAGGAAAGTTCTAGAAAGGTTTTGCTGGAAGGTTCCAAGAAATCCTAGATTTTTCCGGAAGAAGGTTCTAGGAAGGTTTTTTAGAAGGTTCCAGGAATCTTGGATCATTCCTGGGGACGGTGTTAAGAAGGTTTTTCTGGAAGGTTCCAGGAATCCTGGATGCTTCGTGGGGAGGGTTTTAGGAGGATTTGTTTCGAAGGTTCCAGGAATCCTAGATTCTTCGTGAGGAGGGTTTGGGGAAGGTTTTTTTTGTTGAAAGGTTACAAGGATCCTGGATTGTTCGTGAGAAGGGTTTTAGGAAGGTTGTTTGAAAGGTTCCAGAAATCACGGATTCTTCCTGAGGAAGGTTTTAAAGTTTTTTTGGTTCGAGGAATCCTGGATTCTTCCGGATGAAGGTTTCAGGAAGTTCTTTTTGAAGTTTCCTCGAATCCTGGATTCTTCCGGATGAAGGTTTTTGGAAGATTTTAGGCGGGCGGGCGGGCGGGCGGGCGGCGGGCGGGCAGGCGGTGGGCGCCAGGGGCGTGCGATTCCCCCCCCCCCATGATCCATCCCAGGGACCCTCGCCAAGATTTTGACACCCCCTCCGGCCCGAGACCACCCCCGGACGAACATGTCATTGGGGCATAACGTGCTCCAAAACGGGCCAAGCGGACCCCAAGAAACCAGAGAGACGGTTCCAGAAGACCCCGAAGCGCCGAATGATCCTTCCAAGCCTGCCGCGCCGTGGCGGAACGCCATCTTCGCCCTCGCCCTCCGCCTCCGCATCCCCCTCCCCGTTTTCACCCTCCTCCTCCTTGTCGTCGCCCTCATCGCCATGCGCCCTCCCCCATCCCCCCCCCTTCTATCAACCCCAATGACGAAGATCGCGCCAGGGCTCACTTGGGCAATCTATGACTTCCCAGGAAGTCCAAAGGCCCCCGGGCCCCCAACAAGACAAACTTCTTTGGGGTCGGCGGCAGAGGCGGCAACCTTTAAATTGTAACGATGGTACCATTGCAGAGCTAGCTGGCTGCCCCAACTGGCTGAGTCAGTCGGGGAACGATTTATCGGTTTCAGGGAACACCCTATCCGTGGCGATAGGAATTCCGGCGCGGGGTGGAGCTAGTTGGCCCACCCGGCCGGGGCGGACAAAGTGATCACTTTTGGTCGGTTTTGCTAAAATTTGAAAGATATTACGTTGTAATCAGGGCAATCCAGCAAACTGGTACTCCTCTCCAGTACGCAGATGTCCCCAGACTGCGACCGAATTACAGCATTATTTGTAGTGGCGTGTACTAATGCTCCATGTTTCAAACACATGTTATGTTAGTCATGTGGCACATATATCCGTTTTATGTCGACTATTGGAACAGAGTAGCCAGGGCAAAATCTATCCATACGCCCGTGCAGCTTCGGACATAAGTTGGCGTAACCAATTCCACTAGTCACCGATCACGCCAGCCTTATCATATCACGCCAGCCTTATCATAGTCTACTCAATCACTGCTGATCCCTAGGATCTGAACTGCGAGCGGAAGGCTGCCATGATCGTACCCCTCCTTCGTGAAACAGTCCACGAGCGCTGCAGAGTGACACCGTCCCCGAGAATTCGTGACGGCGCAGGTGGAGTGTCGCAGGACACATACTCCAGATTTCGTAATAAAGGGAGGGGGGTCTCATTTCGGGGGGGTCTCTTCCAGGCTATCTTGGAGGGCCTGGGGGGGTCTGGGGACGATGTTTTGGAGGGTTCTCCCACAGGGGGGGGTCTGAAATGGCTTGTCTTGGAGGGTCCAGACCCCCTCCCTTTTATTACGAGATCTGGAGTACCATCAGTTCGCCAATCGGTTCGGTTTTTGCCCCGCTTCTCACTTAGCCGAGCCCAGGAATCCTTCTCACCACATCCACGGGCACTTGCGCACCGGGACTGCCCAGCTTCGACCAGTCCAGGCTCCCCCGGGAGGCATCTCCATCCACTCTCGAGGATCTCATGCGACCACCACTCTGCATAGATCTACGCGAATAATCCTCATTTGGAAGGTTCTTCAACAAAGCGGAGGTTGGGTTCTCCTCTTGCAACTGTGCCATGGCGTGCAGGGCCTGGCGTGCGCAGAATCGAAGGGCCATTGTTTCTCTGGCGGCTGGGCCCGAGCTGTGCCCACTCTGCCTGGCGCCTGATGTGGTCAGGAATCTGCTCGAATACATCGTCACCCTGGAAGTCCTTTCCTTTCCCCCGCCCCAACGAGCGCACCTCCCTTCCCAGACCCCCGACGTCGTGATTTTTGTCACAACGTCGACCCCCAGAGGTCTGCACCCCTTCCCTGGGACCGGTTCTTCGTCCTGAGTCGTCTTTTGACGCTCCCGAGGCCGGGTGAGGGCCCCCGGAGGCCGAAAATAGCGGAAAACCTCCCGTCGTGATTTTTTCACGACGCGAGGAGGTCTGGGTTTTCTTCCATCACGAAGTACGCCTTCTGAGGGCGAGTGTCCGCGCCAACCCCGCCCTCCCGAGGTGACTGCGCCGCCTCAGGGGGGCGGCGGGCAGGCACCGAGGCAAAAGTGGCCTAAAGACCTCGAGAGCGGTGGAGAGGTCAGTGCACCCATCGATGGTTGGCAAAGATTGCCCAATCTGGTTGGCACTCTGGGCCCCCGCCGTAGTGATTTTTTCATTACGCCGACCCCCCGAGAAGGGGTTCTTTGCCGTCGTTGCCGTCGGCCCCCAATGAAGCAGCAGTGCACTCATCGATGGTTGGCACCTACGGGGTCAGCAAAGATTGGTGCTGGAGGCTATGGCGCAGGTTTTCTGGCCGCGGGCTGTGCACCACCGCCTGGGACCGAAGAGGGCGGGCACAAAAAAACCGTCCCGAGCCCAGAGCCAGCGGCCTGCCTGCCCCTCCTGCTGGCCGGACCCAGTGCTGGGCCACCTCGGACCCCCGGACGGCTCCAAGACGAAAGGAAGCACAAAGCACAAAGGCCCAAACCAAGCCGAACAGCGCTGTGGTCCGTCTTCGCCCTGCGGTCGCGCGCACGATCGGCACGCAGAACTCGCGCTCCTCGCCGTCGGCCCCCGGGCCCTTTGCCCGAGGGTCGGGCGGGTGGTAAGGGTAGGGGGCCACATGCGAGCCCGACCCCATACCCCCCACGATTTCTGAGGGGGAGGGTGGGGTTCACGTCGTCCGAGAGCTCCCGAACGGATTGAACCCCACCCTCCCCCTCGGAAATCGTGGGGGGTAGGGGGGTTGGGTTCGCACGTGGCCCCCTGTAAGGGGGGGGGGGCCAGATGAAGATAAGGTGTTACTGCGGCCCGTTGGTTGTTACTGCGGCCCAGTGGGTGTTAGTATGGCCAAGGCTCCTCCGGAGTGTATTAATGGAC